GTTAATGAGGGGTACATTGTGCGGGTAATCATGGTAATCATGGGGGTGGGTGTGCTTATTCACGATAATATACGGTACTTGTGTGAACATTCGATTATCTGCTCCGAAGGGTCATCTGATACTTACTGTGTGCACAGGTGGCTGTGGTGAATAGGTACATGGGATGCAAAGTCATTGAACAAGCATGACATCCAGATGGGTGGTTGCCTCTTGACATGCATGACCTTCATTGGTCCATGATTCTGATGATGCAGTTTACTCACGTTTCCCCCAACTTATAGGAGATAAATAATAAAGATTATACTTGTCCTCAGCATGATGGTAAACTGCCAGGTACAATGACACGGTTTATCAACCACACAACCAATCACTTTCAAAGCACAAAGAGAATTTTGGGCTCATAGATTGAGGTGAGAGTCTCACTGAATATTTGCTGAGTGGTTGTTAAGTAACTGAACGAAGATCAATCAAGCCACATCGTATTGTTGGGCAGGCTAAGTCGGGGGGACAAGCAAGTTGCTGTTACTGTGCCAAAATGCCAGTACCAGCACTGGTTGGTTTGGAAGTTCAACTTTCTTCCTTGTCCATTTGAATTGAAAGCGCTTCGGGCCACTGCTGGCAGCAGGTATAGCCTGACTGTACGGTTGTGAACGTTCTTCAAATGGTTCAATTTTTGGGCAGTCTAAGTCATACTTGCGGGCAGTTTCTAAGAAGCCAGCACACTGCCAGGGGCTTTAATTGGGGGTCGGTTCGTTTGTTTAATTGGCCACCCAATGGTGAGGCTGGTTGGTTTGGAAGATCGAATCGTTCATTGACAATCGACTTGTTCGTTGGCCATTTGAATTGAAAGCACTTCGTGGCCACAGCGCATACGCTAGACAGACTGCCTGCCGGTCTACTGTAAACGTTCTTCAATGGTCAATTATGATGATGCAGTACTCATATTTCTTTGTTATTACTAGATTACAATACATATTTGTCGTCACCCCATCATATTACGCACATACGACCGACGCAACAGACCATTGTCGTTAGTGCGATTCAACTCACGAACAGGTCCTGTAACAACATGGTTTATCGACCACGTACGTTCGCTTCTCCTCCCCTCCTTCAAAGCGCAATCGACCACATAACGGCGAAAGAATTAAGAGCGAACATTCCGGCCTCCACACTAACGTGACGTGCAGTACACGACTACACAATGCACGCAAATCTGCTTCATTATTAACGCTCCTGCACCGAATAGATTTAAGGGTAATAATACTTGCACAATTGTTAGTGCATTCCATTAAATCTTATAACCAGTTTTTCTATAATAAAAAATAATAGAAAAGTACTGACGTGTTCTGTAACACCAGATTGACGCACGTCTGTTCTTGAACGAAAAAAATTTTTCATCCATCTGTCGCCATCCATGTAGTTTTTTGACTAGTCTCTGCGTTCATGGAAGCGACACGCGAAGGTGTATGCGTCACAATACTGTCTAAAATACCCGTCTTATGTATGTGGTAACGTGACGGGTGTGACGTCTGATGATCATCAATCTCATCAAAGTATGTATACCTAACATAGCAATGATCAATAATAATAACTCATCTATCCCATCAGCCATCTTACTTTCCTCTCTCCCTTTCTATCCATAACAATTGCCAACATGTCTCATTCTCGCGCTCTCAATGATGAAGAAGTCATCGCCGAAATGAAGAAAATGGTTCGTTCAAATGTGCCTGATATAGTGACTAACGGCTATATGGTCTAATATTCAATATTCTGCTAGGTTGCTTTTATCAACCAAGAAGCTATCGAGAAAGCAAGAGAGATTAGAGTTAAGGTGAGGAGTTGTACTTAATTTACGGTTCTGCTAAGGTACACTAATTCAGTAGATCAAACTCGACTTTTTTACTCTAAACGATACCTTGACATTTATAATGAGTATTTGATGGCTATGCTAGAAATCATAGACGTTACGAGATAAAATTTGTATAATGTTCAACCAGTATTCAACAACACACCAGTAACAATAGCATAATATAACGAGCGCTTTAAGTCTAGTTACATCATGACCTGATCGCTCACCATATCAATGTTCATCTTTGTTTGTAGGCGGACGAGGAATTCAATATTGAAAAGGTACAGATGTGGGTGGACAAGCGTTGTTACTTTTTTCTTGCCGTTTATAACACTCGTTTGTATGATCTTAAACAGGCCAAATTAGTTCGCCAAGAATCGATCAATATTGAAGCTACTTTCCAGAGGAAAATCAAACAGGCCGAGGTACAAAAGAAGATGTAAGTTTGAATATGCAGATCGGTCATGACTGTCTTTATGTCCAATGTCATTTGGAACGTTCGATTGCTGTTTGGATACAATATACAGTTTTAATGAAATCGCATTGATTATGATCTCATTCGGTATTTTGTAGTGCACAATCAAATTTTGTGAACAAATCTCGACTGAAGATTCTCCAAACTCGTCAAGCACATCTCGAAGAATTGTTCAATGAGACGAGAAATAAATTGCAAGAGATTTCAGTTGATCAAGATAAATATACCAGATTGTTGAAAGATCTAATTCTAGAGGTATACACATCGCTGGTCTCTCTATTGCTGTGTGGTACATCACGTGATTTAAATATTCGAATTTGTCCATTTAGGGTTTATATGCCATATTGGATGAGTCCGTCTCTCTTATCGTGCGTAAATCCGATATCAATCTTGTCCAGTCGGTCATTCCTCAGGTATCAACGGCTTATCATGCGGCAACAAAACAAAAAGTTGACATAACCATTGAAAGTGATCATCACGTTCCCACATCAAGGTAAATTATTACTGTCTTGCGGTGGCCGAGAATTATACATAAACTTGATCCAACGATCTTTATTAAATAGTGCGGGAGGTATTATTCTTACTTCTAATCACGGACGCATAAGAGTTAATAATACACTGGAAGAAAGACTGAACCTTGCTCAAGAAGAGGTAAGACGAAAAGTCAAGTAATTTGGGGCGTTGGCTGATGATGGAAATATATACCATGCTAATTCATATTGGAGTATACTACTCTATGATGAGCGTTTTCAATGTCTGAATTCATAGCATACGAATTTGTTTAGATCGCAGCGTTTTACAAGTGATTAATACGCTCTGTTTTTTTTTCTCCTATGATAGATGCTTCCAGAAACTCGCGTCCTTCTCTTTGGCCACTCACCGAATCGCAAATTCTTCAACTAACAAATATATAACCAATCTATTTATGCAGTCCCTTTAACTCTATTCACATCAATTGCCGTATTTATTGCGTTTTGCGCATACCATAGAAAAAAAGACACAATAAACAATAGCATTTAAACTGGAATTTTTAATACACTATTATGTATTTTTTTAAATCCCAGTTACAACCTCTCTTCTGTTAATACTGGGATTCCTGTGATATCGACAACTTGTTCGGTTCCCGGATAAGGTGGGAGATTTAAATTAAATTTCTCTGCCAATGCCCTAAATGATTCTTAACTGTTAACAACAAAATTTCGAATAACTGCAGCAGTAGTATAATATACTGTTATAATGCACTTACGGTGGAATGAATCTTCCCCCTAAATAATGAGTGCCTTTGAAATCTTTCATTCCTAGCTTTGGAGCAGTAAGAGATATCAACAATGACGGCACAAAGGAATTTGGTTCTGGACCTATTAGAAGATTGTAAGTCACGTCGCCACTGAGATGCTCACAAACTATATGCTATTATTGCCTACCTGTTTCCACGTTCCAAGAGGAAGGAATATCGACTATAGATGAAAGAAATGATTCACATTAAGCTCAATACTGTATGTGTGAACAGACAAACCGGTTAGGCATCACCTGAAGCGATTGGAATAGTTGTCTCCTCAAACGCCTAGAACATCAAACGATTAATCTATTCATTAATTAGTTCATGTTTAATCATTATGGCTTATTCACCTATGTTACCTGGATGACATCATCAAATGGAGTTCGCACTTTTCCGCTGAAACTGAAACCTATATTAAGTTCACAAGTTTTAATTTCAATACCTTCGAATTACGACTTGTGACTAATTACTTCACGAGACACAATACCAAATATAGCATCAACTATCAGATCAGTTTGCTTCAGTTGTTGTTTGAGGTCCGTAATCGACGGTATCTTTAAATTATCGCATTGAGTGACTAATCGCTGGTAGGCAAGAAAAAACCATGGGTCAATATCAAGTAAAAACCATCCAAATGGTTTGCTTGCTTGCTTACCTGATATAACTCCTTCCCACCTCGCTTGGGATAGAATATACTCGGCGAATACCCAAAATGGAACAGATGTCTTGCAGCAACAAGGCCTAATTATTCGATATATCCTTCGTGTAAAAAACACGCTTACATGACTTTGCTCGTTTCCGTTCAGCAAGTTGAATTACCGTCACCCCCGTTGTTTCCTGGCCCGCAGCAGACCATCACTCGAGGATAAGATCGAACAGGATAAACTTTTGCGATCGCGCATGAGACGCTCAACCCTGCTAATTCCATAAGCTACATACAGAAACGATGAGCTCACGATAATGAATTATCTTTGGGTTATCAGATATCTAGGAATATCACCAAACACTACCTGATCAATTGAAAAAGCACCATTCTGAGACATCAACTCCTCGTCAATTTGTTGAGCCAAACGTTGTGATAGATACTATGAAATTCGAGAAATGCGTCATTGGACAAATTAAATGAAAAAATGTATACAAATATATATATAGGTATGTGTGTGTGCGTGTGCGTGTGCGTGTGCGTGTGTTTATGTATCAATACAATATATCAATATATCAGACAACATTCTCTCCCCATTCTGTTATAAATTCAGACACAAGACAAAATATATTACCCTGAGTGCCATTATGTTTAACGTTGGGAAGATCACCCAATAACGGTTTTCTATTGATATCACACCAATGTTACACAATTGGATAATCTCTGGAATGTCATGCAACTTAAAAATCCCAGGGAAACAGGGGAAATTCCCCACGTCAGCTTCTCTCCGCATTACATCTCGAACAAAAAAACCCCCTACCTACCTATCCCACACCTGTATATATAATGTCCGTGATAGCTTCATTCCCTTCACATGGCCACCACTCGTCCAAACCCCCTCCTCCCCTGTTTACCATTTTCCTCATACTTGCCTTCGTATCCATAGTTTACTACGCCTTTTTCCACGTCAACGAGGAAAATCAATCGATCATGTGGGTCAGGCATTCGAGACACACTGATGCTGTAAAAATACTAGTACCGTATAGCGCCGATGTAGCTGACATGAAAAAGGTGGTGAAGAGAGAGCTGGCACCTGCCATCGATCAGGAAAGTCTTGGACAAGTGTTGTTGTTGAGTACCAGGTTGGGAAGGCTGAAGCCTGATATGAAGATTAAAAAGGTTGCGGGGCGGGAGAAGATTTTGATTGTGTTTGTGGACAACGTTGGTAAGTCTGTCAAGTGTCTCGGGAGTGATTTAAATATCGCCCGGAGAAAAGGGGTTTGTTTTCCGGGAGGAAGATGGAAGGATATGCTGTTATTCCTTTTATCCCACGCGCCGATTGATTTCGATTTGGGGTAGCATATGCGAAAAAAAGAAAGGGAGAGAAAGAGAAGAGAATGAGATGCTTCTATAAACATAGTGTGCTCGTAGAAAAAAATAAGCTTTGACAATACTTCATTGCGCATTTTTCTCACGTGATCACTATGTCTTTGATCTAGCCTCTCGTTTGCATCTCAAAATGCTAACCACTGATCAAGTTCCAATACAAGTCAACAACCCCTTCTGTCTCAAGACTGACGATGCCTATATTGCTGTGGCAAAGGTGCTCGCAGGCGACTACTCGCACAAGGACATTAAAATGCTCAAGAGGAATCTATGCGAATCCAGTGTCGAGTCATGGAGTTGACGAAATTACTCTCTAGAAGGATTCACAAAAGGGAAGTATTGAATTGTTTAATATTTGCGTTGTCATTTGTTGTTTTGGTTTTTCTTTTCTTTTCTTTTTTTTTTCCTTTTTTTTGTCGTCTTTGCGCATCCGTTTTTTGCAGATGATATTTAATTAACGCAAATGGGAAAGTGTCTTTTTCCCACTGGGTGATGTGATATAATATACAGTGATGATTGCTATTGATGAAACAGAAAGATTGAAAACGGGCGAGATTGTACATTTGCATTGATATTAAAAAGTAAACAAGAAATATATTCCAAGACCTTGTTCCAAATGTTTTCCATTCATGTTCGTGAACGTGTGCTAAAGACCAACATCCTTTGTTCGATTCCAGGTTTTATTACAGAATTCGGTTTGATGGTAGTACGCAACGTCAAATCACTTGTATACTCTTGCAATTTCTTGTCAATTCGATTGAAGTCTCACCCCGTGACTGGCATGCATGTTCTTACTATTGGCATTCTAGCCTACTAAAATTTTACCGTCTTGGTTTTATTATGCAACGTGTTTTACTATACAAGAAACAAGCAATTGTACATTAAATGAATATATATTCTATTTTTGTCTGTCGTTTATATTATATTATATAGTTTAACCCATGCTACCAAACAACAATCAATCAAATGGTGTAAAGAATGGATCACTCTGCTGCCGACTTGCAACTGGAGCTCTCGTTAGCGAATTGTCATAGTCTTGCGTGTATTCGTATATTGAATCGTAATCCTGATCACCTTCATCAGCGCCTTCATCCCACTCAGCAGCATACTGGTCAGACCCATAGGTCATCTGCGGCGATAATTGAGGAGAATCCAACAAATTGTTACTGCTCGGATAACTCGGTTGGGATCTCTTTGTCATTTTTGGAGGGCCAGTGGATGTAGATTGTCGTTTAACTAACCCGTTTAGCTTTGATCGTAATGAATTAAAATGTTTCTCGTCTGTTTTGCGAACTTGAGACGCTGCATGTTTCAACATTGAGAATCGTTGTATCTCTGTGCCATCTTCCTTGTTGGTATCGCGCCGGAGCGATATTGATCTCGCTTTACTTGGTGGTGGATATGTGGGTGATGGCGACGACGTCTTTTCATCCGAAGATGAATCTGATGAAGGTTGCTGAAGTACTTTGTTCTCGTTCTTTTTCTTTTGTACGAATAAAAACCACAATACACGGCCAACTCCCATTAGTACAAGAAAGAACCAACAAGCAATGAGTAGCCAGAATAGCGGAAGTTCAGATTTAAGAGACGACTCGTATGTGTCGAACAATCGACCAATCTCACCGCCAGACGAGCCTGAATCGGGTGATCCGACAATTTGCGTTGTGGCCTTGTCTACTACCTCTTGCATGTTTGATCTATCCACAAGTAGAATAGAGTCGTTCACACGTGGAAGGTTGATCGATGCGTTTTCTTGTATAAACGAAAGACCGGCTTGTATACCACGTATTTTCACAAACAATAAACAGTTTATGACTTGGTCAACTGCCGTAAGTATAATCGGGACTCCTCCGAATGTTCCATTGATGAAAGTAGAAATATCATCAACTGCTGCGTTCAGAGTGTTGTTTATTGCTGTTGTTGTAGTGTTTACCCAGCCAAACAGCTCCTTGTTGAGTTCATCTTCTATGTTGGATATGGCAGAATTACTCTCAGAAGCATAGCTCTTTGACGTGTCCGTCAATGCACCGTTGATTTTGTCCAAGACTGCATTTCCGAACGTGCTAATAGCATCAGACAACGGTTGTTGATAGCTACCGCGTACACCATCAAGTATGGCGAGCTGCAAGTATATACTAAGCACCCCAACAAGTCCAATGGCGAGACATACTAATGCTCCCGGATGTAAAATATAGTCCCAAAACCATCTAAACAAATGTTGATGGTCTGGATTTTTAAAAAACTGAGATGCTTTGATAAACCAGCGAGTGATCAACGGCCTTTCGGCTATTTTGATAATCTCAATAGTAGTCTGACGCGTATGAGTAAAAGTGACTAGACTAATAGTCTTCTTGGTCCGATCGACATGCCTCATAAACCGACGATGAGAGTACCAAATAACAACGGCATTAGCAGCTATCATCAGCAGAGCGACAGCAACCAAAACGGCAAGTCCAATGTAAGCCGTCTTCACCAAATCGCGCGAAATATTATCGACGATTGATAAATCCAAATTATCGGCGCAGAAGGTGACTTGATTTTTAGGTGGCACCGGAAGTACAGATCCATCAAACCGAACATTACTCATGCTGCTTTTAATTATCGACCTCAATTGATCAAACGGTATAGTTACCAGGTCATCCAGCTTGCTCTCGATTTCATCCATTGTAGGAAGACTGTTATTTAACTGACCGATACCTTGGTCAATTACTGGCAACTGAAAGTTACTCAACCCATCGGCTGCTGGAATAGAGACTGTGGGTATGTTGATATTCAACGTACTAACTACAGAATTTTGTTTGACATTGTTCAATATATCGTTGAGCGAATTGACTTGACTGTCGATACTAGCTTTAATTTGACCCAAGTTGTTGCTAACAAATTGACTCAAACTTTGAACTGCATCTGCAACTGCAGCCAACGAGCCTCTAATTGCTAGTTCCAACAAACACCTATAAGTGCTTTTGAATACATTAATTATCCAAATCATGATTCCTTCCAATGCCAGGATTGCCAAATCCAGTGTGTTTCCAATTGCCTTGATCGACAAGTTGACACCGTCCACGGTTGCTCTGTTAAACCCGCCTGCCATAAAGTGTGGGAGAGACGTCACTGTCGAAGTTGCCGTTTCGAGTGCGTCGCACGAGCGGAGAGCATTCTGCTTTATTTCGTCGACCAATGTCGGAATCGTTTTGATTGCTGAAAGGAGACGAAATACGACGAAAAGTAGTGCGATTATTGGGTAAGCTAACCAGGCTTGTGACAATTTAGCACGAAGTCCGATGTATGGATGAATGGTAGTTGTAGAGGAAACAACGGATGGTTTCTGTGTGCCTGCAAAACAAAGTGACATAGAAAAAGTTTAGGGGACATGAAAAATGTATCAAGTAACGAAATGGTTATGGATATAAGAACATTCCAACTTCAGCTTTACGCTTACCAGCACTACTCTTCTCGGAGTGCAACCGAGGCGATCCAACCGAGCGCATTCTGAAGCCTTCTTCCTGGTTCAAGCTAGGTGATTGTGGTAATGCAAAGCCGCTCGAAGTCGCTCCAGGCGACGCAAGTGGGGGAGGTGATAATGTTCGTCGTGGCATCCGAGAAAATAATAAGATCCTTTGATATTTATGTAACAGTTCACCTCCCGATAAAAGATCGTATAGTTGTCAGTTTTTTATTGTTGCCCGCATTTACCAGGCGGGTCGAAGAATAGAAAACCATACTATTATTGTGCTGAACCCTATCCATCATTACAAAGAAGCAGTACAATGAAGTGATATGTATGGGTTACAATATGTACAAATTCCTGAAACATTCGTCCGGTTATATATCAAAGGCCGAGTGAGTAAAGCATGCAACTGTACCCTTAATTACAAGCCAATCAATAGGCGATATTTCGTATCACCAAGCCAAATTCGGTTTAGAGAGAAAATATGTTTGTTGTCCTTTTTGTGTGCCAGTTTTTGACGCTGCGTAAGATGATTGGCCCAAAATTTTCGTTGTAAAAAAATGTGTTTCGTTGATGTTTGATAGTTTTCTACGAATAATGAGATATTACACAGGCGACGAACTGGGGCTACTCAAATGTAGACATTCCTGCGCGTTTAAAAATTGACAAATGATTATTCCAAATTAAACCATTTTCTTTGTTTGCAACAGCTATCACAGTCCACGAGACGTCGCCCTCTGAAGAAACGGCTTCGGTCGCAATTAAATCATGGGGTAAGATAAATCGAGAAGAGGGTATACAAATACTATGCCATGGAGTAATAGAAAATCGAAAAGCGGTAACGAATCTCATTCTGATCCATCTGACAAAGTTGATCGGTTTTCTATGGGGGACGAAACTCATTGTTATTTGTTTAGATAGTGGCTGCTCGTCAAAATGGGCGTATAGACTTTATCGATCCCAATGAAGATGGGAAAATCATTACTAAATTTACAGAAGACAGCATTAAAGTTAACGAAAGAAATAAGGGCATTTTTATTGGGTTGTTTGCAAACGACAGGTACGAGACGATGGGATATTGGCGTTAGAAGTATGTCATGCTGTTAATCACGTTGACACTTGTAATTTTAGAACACTTGTAACTGCTACGGATGGTGGAACGGTTTGTTACAGATCACTTGCATCAGAGGATGTATGTCTAGAATAAGTAATCGGTTATCAAACAAAGTAAAGATAGGCGGTTTCTAATGCTAAAGTTCTGATTACCTTAGCCAGAACATACAGTAACAACGCTCACCTTATCACCAGATCTATGTCGTCTGCGTGTCCATACCAAGGAACATCATATTTTTGCTTGTGGTGGTAAAGAACGTGATCTATCTGTTTGGGATGTAAATGCACATAGTTCCGGGATATCCCCGTCAATCACAAGCAAGTATACAAGAAACAAGAAAGATCCACCAGGCGTCATTTGGAAAGCGAAAAATGTAAAGAATGATTTTTTGGACATGAGAGTTCCTGTCTGGATAACGGACTTGCAATTTCTGAACGACGACGATGTTTCAAAGTTGGTGACAGGAACACGTCATCATCAGGTTGGGTATTTAGACTATTAGTTTTCTATTGTCTGAATTTTTTTCTCTTCTAATCTGACTCTTATTTAGATTCGATTATATGATATCAAAGCTGCACGAAGACCGGTTTTGGATGTAACCACCGGTGAGCATCCAGTGGTAGCTTTAGTCCGAGGAAAAAATTCAAAGTACGGTAACTTGTTATTTCGTTGGGGTCACTGTCTTCCCGAATGTTGATTTTTATATTGTTCGACTTTTACATTTAGTGAAGTAGTATTCTCGGATACAGTCGGGAATGTTCAATCATTAGACATTCGAACCGGTATGTCAAAGTAATTGCTCTCACCTTTTGTGTTGAACAATATTTAACAGTGTTGTCTTGATACATAGGGAAATTACTCGAGCGATACAAAGGTGAAGTAACATGATAGCTACGATACATGAAGTAGTGTATTGTTTGTGTTTTTAACTGGGGTTTTGCCATCAGGATTTGCAGGAACTGCTCGTGGCTTGGCCGTAGACCACCAGAGGTCTCTTTTAATCACGGTTGGCCTTGACCGTTTTCTACGAATTCACAAAATGGACGGAACGCGTGACTTATTACAGAAGGTCTACTTGAAACACAGGCTAACTGACATATTGATTGATACCGACGGTAATTACAATCTCGTAGCTTATGCTAATGTTTTATGGGGGATTGCCTTACAATTCTCTGCATATAGATGTCGAATCTATCAATACGGTGCCACAGGTCGAAGCTGATGATGAACTCTGGAAGACGTTGGAAACTATAGAGCCCAAAAAAAAGAAAAGGAAATTAATAAATAGTGACGATTGATAATTTGAAAATTGCAAATGGTACACGCTGCGACGTATATATCTTGTTGTGAGAATTAAGAATTCCCAGTTCTACTTGTATTCAAATTACGAACGGTATAAGGGTTGATGTGCTTGAGAATGTTGGCGTTTTCTCGATCAAACTTGATAACATGAAACCAATCGTTAGCCATCTTGCTCTATATAAAATTGAAAGGAACATTCATTGTAATTTGCTTCAAATCTATCATAGAAATTTCACTGATTTGTTTTCTCTTTATGGCATAGTAATAGAGGAAATTTGCTACAGGTTAAGGAAGCAGTCGATTACTTCACGTCTGTATGTGAGGTTGTAATTTACGTATTGAAAATTTTAGTGGCTAATTGTCAGTTTTCAAAGCTGTATAATATAAAGTAAATTAGATGAGCGCGCTAAGATTGGCTGGCTAAATGTAAAAGATGGTTATATGTAGGTCCTACGAATTATTTCTACAATAAGTTGATATTATCGTGATGATATTATTTTACTATTAAACTTGCAGTCTTTTTGATTATATTAACGAGAATGTTATTCGTACTGTTAGTTTCGTGTGTCCTTTACTAAGGTGGACCTCCAGATAGAGCTGTTTATTCGTACTGTTAGAAAGCCAATTGTTTGCTTACAAGGAACGCTTGCAGTATTGTTATAACGTGTGCTGTATTGTCTCTAAACTATCCTAATCATTAAATCGTGCCATGCGTGTTGTGGTGGGTTGTTCGCTTACTTCCTATGCCCTCTTTGAGAAATCCTTCAGATTTGATTAACTGATCTATTTCTTTATTATAATTACACTACACGCAAATTCAGCTTTCCGTATAATTTTGATACACGATTTTTACTCGAGCTAGTTTATTCTATGTGTATTTGATTGATAAAAGTTCTCACGTCTCATACATGCTTTCCTTCGTTACCTGGTCACCAACAGAAATTTGCCATAAGCATGTCGGCACACCAACATGCGAATATCATATTGACTCTGTTTCTGAACGGCAATAACCAAGATTATTCTGTGCAGCAGCATGTCCTTGTTCAGCTGCCTTTTGATACAATTCAATTGCTTTTTCAACATCTTTTTCTACCCCAATTCCATTTTGGTAACAATAACCAAGGTTATTCTGTGCAGCAGCATGTCCTTGTTCAGCTGCCTTTTGATACAATTCAATTGCTTTTTCAACATCTTCTTCTACCCCAACTGCATGTTCATAACAATAACCAAGATTATTCTGTGCAGTGGCATAACCTTGTTCAACTGCTTTTTCATATAATTCAACAGCTTTTTTAGCATTTTTTTCTAACCCAATTGCATGTTCATAGCAATAACCAAGATT